GATGGTAATTATCTCGGCGAGAAGTATGCGGATCGACGCCGTTGAATGTCATGACAGGTAACGGTATAATCTTGTGACATTCGAACGTATTAATAACACCCATTTCGATTCGAGAAGCACAAAATGTCCGAGCGCTCAATCTTAGCCCGCGAAAATTTGAATTAATTCAAAATACAGAACGTCTCCTTTCAGTCTAACTAATTATTTAAAGAACACTAACTATTTAATGAAACGAAGCTAGTAGCAAAATTACTAAAAATTATTATCGATGAAATTATTAAAAAGAATTTTTTATTAAAAAAAAAGTTTAATAATTTCGTTCACTACACCCGTTACAAAAATACGAAAGTAGAATCAACAGATTATAAATCCAGCGAAGTTAAGCAAAAAAAGAAGATTAATCGTGCCAAGATACACGTAACTTCGAAAACACGATCGATACGAATTACATAAGAGTTATCGAAACGTCAGTAAGAATTTGTTTATCGAAAACGAATACCTAAGCGCGTGTAACGGCACAATTAGCCGTTATCAAAGAACGAATTGTTCGATTAATCAAAAGCACAATTCGACAGAGAACCATACACAATTGTCCGAGTCGAATGAAAAGAAGTTGAAGAATCATAAGACGAAGTGGGACCCTGACGTCATATTCCTTTCTAATATCGTTACGTCACGACAGATTAAGGATCATCCTTGAAGTTTGGTCCTGTGAACCGTACAATCGTTGTCCTTGAACCTGTTTTGTACTCTTGTCGGGTCGTTGAACTACCTTCTCTTTAGGTTCATTATCTTCATATTTTAATTTGTTTCGTAAGGTTGATCTTAAGTTCACTATCTTTAAATAGAGTACAGATATATGGCTGTCTGTAAATTGGGCGCTAATATATATTGACTTGAAATTGAAAATAAATAACAGTGTCTAAATTGGGGATAAGTACAAAGCTTTCTTATATTGAATATAAATATATGATTGATAGATATATGACTTAAATTGACCACAAATAAATGACTGCTCTTAAATGACATATAAATAACTATCTTCAAATACAAACATCTGTTTGTCTTTATATTACGTTCAAATATAACTGATCTTACATTAAGCTCAAATACATACTTGTCCTTAAGTGAAGCTTCATGACCTCCTTTAAATGTAGAACAAATATATGACTGCTCATAACTGAAGTACAGGTAAATGACTGCCCTTAAATGGAGCATAGTTTCCCTTACTTTTGAACAAATAAATGCAAGGTTACAATTTTTTGCAATATTTAAAATATCAGCCAGAAAACAAAATGTTGTATCCATATTTGATTAGTTTCTGATATAATTTCAATTAAACTTGTGACACCTTAAAGAAGCGGGATATTCCGAAAAGATGTTGCGAGTTTAAGATGTGACACGATAGTCACATGCTCATCGTGGAGCTTGGAAGTAATCATCATCTGGACCAGACGAGCTTCGCACGTGATCGATAATGGTCTCATCCTGACCTTCGATAGCCACTCATGGAGAAAGTCAAAGAAATTTCCATGAGTTCTTATCGATTTCCGCATTGCTATCGCAATACGTCATTGTTCAATCCTTACTCACTAACATATTTTCCCACAAAATTTCTTAAAAATTGAATACATATAATATTCAAACTCTAGTGATATTTCGAGAAGATTAGTCATACCAAAGTAGAAAGTTCATTTGCATTTAAATCTGCGATGAAGTGCATTCAAATTAACATTGGAGAGCAGAAAAAGAATTCGCTGAAAATATCTTATATGTCTCATAAGTCGAGATCCATTAGTTCGGCGACTTAAAATTTTTTCGCTAAAACACTGTTTCTCAAGCAGGAAACAAAAAGTTTCACTTAGCTCGATGCTCACAAATTAATTGATAAGTCGGGTATATTTGAAAGCGGTCGATTAATCGATGAGACGCGGATCGACACGCCGCTCGGACCCGTTCGTTTTATGACCCGAGGACCACAAAATCGTCTCGGTAACAAGTTTTTACGGCTTCCTCGGTTTCCTGCTATCTCTTTGGCCTTTCCTAAGGACCAGTCGTTGACGTCACGTTACCGGCTAACCAACGGTGCAGCTGCATTCTCTCCTTTCGTGCATTAAACGCGGAATTCCAGCCGAGTCACGATTCGGGACTGGCCTGATCGTTTTCGAGAAATCGACACCGGTGACGATCGATCGGTGACGGAACGAACCGAACAATGATATTCAATGTCGCGGCCAATTAAAACCGTTTTATGGATCGTAAATCGAAACATCACGCTGTTTTTCGGAGAATTTCCAGCTCATTTCGAATATTAATTGGCGTATTAAGATTCTGAACTAACGTGAGTTTTTTAGTGAGTTATTAGTTTTTGAATACTCCACACTTTTTTCATATTGTTTACTAAAAGAATTATTTATAGGATGATATTTCTATATTTTTATTTTGTAATCTGATGTCATGAATATTCTGATAGATTTGAAGAAACATTAGTTGTCCTTTCACTGGCTTCAAGTTCCTTTGCATTTGAAAGGTGACTCACAGTTAGTATTAGATTTAATACGACTTGGAATAAATATTTCTTACCTACATTTGTTGTATTGTACATATGAACAAAACTATGTTGATATGAACATAGCGAAACAGACAATGACTAGTAATGATTTTAAAATAATTCTGTAATGGTTTGCTACCTGGTAGCAGCAAAAGTACCTTCAAGCGTGAAGGGTTAATATATCGATACATGAAACAAATCTAAAAACCAGATCTTTTCATACGTTCACCAGAGAGAAAAATTAGTTATTTTACTTTGAAAGCTAGTAATAAGGTAGAGGCTAAGGGGTGAAAAAGTAGTATAATCGTTGAGTAAAGGGTATCAGACACCTTTTCCTTGGGTGAACGCTGTCGAGCAGCATCCCGTTCTCTCACGGGCGATTCAGGAAAGCCCCGGCAAGAATTCCATCGTCCATAGATCCCATCAGCATAGATAAACATTCTCTTCTCCCTGGGACCTTTCGCGGGAGGCTAGGAGAAGTCAAGAAATAAGCGGTTCTCTTTTGTGGCTGAACCCTCCCCCGTATCTCTTCTCCTCGTAGCTTATCTTTCTCTGGTTTCGCGGTGTGTTGCTTGCGAATACACTGTGAACGTAATAGGGAAGGGGTATTGTTATTGTGTCTCTACGCGGGCATAAACGAGTGTGTAAGCGTGCAAATCCACGGCTCGGGCCCCGTGGTATGGGTATAATCGTTTATTTCGCGTCGACCTTTGCGGGGCACTACGTCAAAATGTCAGACGCGACCCCGCCTGAGCGTAGGGAAGATGCACTGGGAACGTTGTAATGGGCTTACAAAGCGTAACAAACTGATGCGAGGTCAAACACGCGACGGGCAATAAACACACGGAAAGATAAATGGGCCCTTAAGGTGCACAACGTACACCATCGCGTCCTGGAAAGTGTTTCATTTCGGCGCCGAACGCTTCCTCTCCTTTTCGACCAAACACGTTAATGGCGAATCGTTAGAGATTATTTACTAGGAAACTGTGCGGCGCATTTATTTATTAGCGGATATGAGAGATTACGAGACTAGTTTTTTATACCGCGCGCCTTTGATCCTTTGAACCCAGGGGCTGAAGTTTTAATTACCGACTCGCTCGATGAGAACCGAGCTGGATCTTCCTCTTCGTTTCACGCTGCGGGATAGGATTCTTGCGCTTCGAAGTTGATCAAGTTCACTATCTCAAGATTTAGATTTTTATTGTTCAAAATTGGGAAACTGGTAGTAGTTTTTATTTCTTATTAAAAATTGCCCTGAATTCATAGATTCACTGATTCTTAAGTTCACAGACTTCTAAATTCATAGGTTCCATCTCTTTACATACTCAAATCCTTAGGCTTGCAAACTCTTAGATACCCAAATTTCTAAGCTCACGAAACTCTGGATTTACTAATTTCTAGATTCCTAAGTCCCCGAGTCTCTACATCCACATATTTCTAAGACTCCAAATCTCTACATCCCCGCATTCTTAAGACCCCAAATCTCAAAATTCCATATAGAAATTCCCAGATCCCCAAATACTATATCAGTAATTCCCAGATCCCCAAATACCATATCATTTCCAAATCCCTAAATTCCATCTCTGAGGAATCCCCAAATTCCAAAATGTCTCCTAACATCCCCAAATTCCAACATCGCCAAATCCCCTTATTAAAAGCGTGGACACCAATTCGCATTGAAATGATCATAACGTTAGCGTTCAAATTAGACGGTTGACAGTAGGATACGGCAAGGATGAACGCTCCGTGATCCTTCAAGGATGGACCTCGAGATCGCTCGGAGCCATAAGTGACTTACGGAGCGTAACAAACTGACGCGAGTTTAAGCGCTGGACGGGCAATAAACACCGTGGAAAGATAAATGGAACCCTTGGTCCATCGTTGCTGTCTCGAAGAAACTGTATCATTTCGTTTAGATCTTTTCTTTCTTACCTCGTACAGGCCTAAATAAATCGTGGCATTGTCGGCGATATAAAGCAACTTTGCTTCTCTCCTTCAAGCTTTATCTCGTTCGACAAACGAATGGCTAAAAATCATCCTGTTAAGTATCTGATTCTCAGATTGAAAAACGATTTTATTCATCGGCTTCAACGTTTATTGCTTCTTTATTTATTCTTGATTGCATTCTGTGTTGTATATTCACTTTAGAGACAAATTCTTAAGATTTTTATAATTCTTAGGATTTTAAAAATTATCTACTGAATTATATTCATAAATTGAACTCAACCAGACCACAAGTTGTCTTATTTTATCTATAAATAAATAAACACCTCTACATTATACAATGTACCTATTATAATTTTAAATAGAATTGAAATATCTCCCTTTGAGACCACCCTCCATCTCCATCCAAGTGTAATAATTCAAATAATAATCCAATTTCGTATTCAAATACCAGATCCAATAAGATACGTCACCTAACAGCAGATTTTTCTTTCTACTGTTTCAGATGCCACAAACAGTGCCTTCAGCAGCCGGCTACTTGCCGTCGTTCGATTACATCACGTTTCAGTTCGATTTGTCCCTTCTATCGGACGATTACAGCGCCGCAAATGCTCAAAATACTTTGAAACCAGCGCAAATCAAGCAGGAAGCACAATCGCCGCGTCCTGGTTCACCGATCACATACTCGAGCCCTCCATATTCGGGCGCAGCCGGTGAACTGTCGCCAAATTATTCGCACGAAGGATCGCCTGGATATCCTACGAGTCCTTACTACGTGCCGAGAAGTCCTCAGAGCGCGCAATTTTATCCAACGAGTCCAGAACCGTCCGCCAAACAACCTATCAAGAGGGAGAAGAGCCTTGATCTTCTGGCCATCTTGCAGGAGTCCAGGTATATGAGTTCACATGAATCATATTTATATGAGTGCTTTTGGTTACTGGAATATATGAAGATGGGTATGTTGATAGGCAGATGATGGGCTTTGATGAGTATCTTATGGGCATGGGTAGTATAATATTTATGGGTGGGGAAGTACATCGGTCAGGTTGGGTCATGAAAATTTTTAATTTTGGTCTTCAGAAATTTTGATACTTGTGTGAGTAATGATTTGGAAATTTTATGAAGTTCTCAGACTTATGAAGTTGGTAATTTGGCACTGACTACGATCTTAGATTCTTGAGATTTCATCATAGTTTTCTTTGTGTTCGATCAAAAGCAACGAAGACATATCACGAAGAGAGATCGCAAGGGAAAATATAGCTCTAAAACTGAAATGAGCTACCTCCACATACCCCATAAGACAAAACCACCCCATAACACCGACGTAACGATGATTTCAGACTCTTGGCCGAGAGTCTGGGCTATCGAGAGGACTCTACCGATTGCACGGTGCCCTGTACTCCTCCTAGAACAGAGGAGGACATCTACAACAGCCTTGACGCGGACTTCTTCGCGAAGAAAGAAGATACCACGGTGCAAGGACACCCGTTGTTGAAGGAAATCCTGTTCAAGGAGGAACCTCGATCCAGTTGCAGCAGCAATTCTTCCTCGTCGTCCTCCTCCTCCTCTTCGTCCTCGTCGAGCGCTTCCTCGTCGCCGGACCCGATAGAACTCGAGAACGGTTCTCCGTTGAGGAACTTGCTATTCAAGGGTGCACGAAAAGAGTTCACCGACGTGACCAGGACGAACTCGAGCCTGAAGCTGGAGAGAATACAGGACGAGGTCAGGAATCCTCTGCAAAAGGAGGAGGAGCTTTTCAAGGACGGGCAAAAGAGCGACCATCAGTTGCTCAGGGAGGTTCTGAGGGACACCAGCTTTCAGAGGAAGTACAATCTGAGACCCGTGGATCTCGGGAGCGTCGGGACCGGGTTCGTCGAAGACATGGAACCCGGCGAATGCGTCGGGGACCTCACCAGAGAACAGATCGAACCCGTGCTCAGCTTGGCCATACAACAACTGCAGAAGGACTTCGACAACACCTGCGTCGCACTCGGCATTCATCCTGGTGAGTGACATTTATCGGTTTCCTCTCTTCGACCTCTTCTACTATAATGACTATGCTCGTGACGCACTCGCGGTGCATGATAAATCTTTGTCACGTTTTCAATGCGTTTTAATTTTCAATTTTATTTATCAATTTATATACTTGATATGCAAACTCATCGTTGACAGGCATGATTATTTTTTTTATCATGAACATTTTTATTTTTTTTATTGTTTTGGTATTGTAGGAATGGTTAGGTCTGACGCACCTCATAAATCGTAGTGAAACCCTATTAATTGAGACTCTGAGAATATACTGTATATCCGTTTAATTACGCGAGAAAATGAGCGGGAAGTAGATTAAAAAGACAAACCGATGTTATTCCAGATAATTGCAATTACGGTAAGCAGTTTTTACCGCGAAGCGAACGTGTTAATTATCAGCGAGATTTCACAGCAATTTGTCGCCGTCCTTTGAGACTGGAAAAATCTCGGAGTCGTTATCGCGTTTAATGACCGTTGGGTTAATTGTCGCGTAATAAATTAATAAATTGTATCGAGATACACGGTGTTCCTAAGGCAATAAGGAGGTGCGTGAGCGTCCATTAGACTGTTAGACCTTGTTGCTACCTTGCCGCGGGCAAACGTGTTCGACGTTATCTTCGTGAACGTAGGAGCGACCGGTTCGACTATTAGTTGGTAGCATGATGTCATGCTCGGAATAAGTTACGAAGTCACATAGTGCTTTCACGAGAAGTTACGAAATTTCGAGGCTCTCCTCAAGGTCGCGTCTCGCTTCCGCTACTTTTCTAACATTTTCTTGCGAACCAAACTACTCATTTACAATCTTTAGATCTTAAGAAAAAAATAAGACCAACTTCAAAGAAAAGTTCTTTGTGGAAAAAATAAGAAATTTGAAAAAAAATTGTCATTGTATGAGAGTTAATGTTTGCTTCTCATTTGAATCCTTCTTTAATCTAGTGATGTCGATTGTTTGAAATTCGCGCCAAAATTAAAATAGATCAATTTAAAAATGAACCATTGAATATTTAAAAAAGGAGATATACAAATATATACATCTTAAAACCGAATACATCTACCATTTAATTCATAAATATACAACAAAATCACTCTGATTAAAACAATATTTAAATGTTCATAATTTGGCGCCAAATTCAAAACACTCTACAAATAAATTAAGGAAGAATTCAAATAACATATACAATGTATATAAAAATCGACTTAAAAAAGAACAAATAATTACCTACAGATCAAAAATATTAAATCGACTATACTTACATAAATCAAAAATACTAAATCTTGTGGAGTATTGTTCATTGGTGGCCATAGTGGGTGACGTTCGAATAACACGCATCACGGCGGGTGAACTCGATTTCAAAGTAGCACAACGATCGACGGTTACCGACGAGAAATTCCAAGAAAAATTCTACCAGCAAAATCGAAAGTGACTCGTATGAATGGAACGCGTCGATCTCGAATATGTTAATAAAATACGTGTATCGGACAGAAACGTAATCAATTGCGACAGGAGTAAATTAATCACTGAACAAAATGGTACTAAGGGAGAAGACTACGTAATTTCTTCATTGTGGAATTTAGAGAAATTCTTTGTTGTTAAATTGTGGAAATTCTGTAGTGTTTTGGCTCTTAAGTTTTTAGACTCTGACCATCATACATAGTATTAAACTTGCAAAGTCCCAAAATTCAAAAGTTCTAAATTTCAAAGGTTTAAAAGTCCCAAATTACCCAAAATTCTTAACATCCCTAAAATTCCGAAATTCCAAAAATCCAACTTCAATATCTCAACATCTCAACATATAAAAAATCCAAATATTCAAAAAATCAGAAATCCAGAAATTAAAAAATCTCAGAGTCTACCAAAAGACCCAAAGTTCAGTTAAAAAAAATGATACCCTACTTTATAGTTAATAATTTGACTAAAACGTTTGAAGCGTATTTACAGAGTAGTTAACCCATCGTTAAATAAAATTGCAGAGCCACGACGCTGGAGCGCAGCGGACGTAGCAGCTTGGATACAATGGGCCAGAAGGCAATTGCAGTTGCCCTCGGTGCCATTGGAGAGTTTCAACGTGGACGGTGCAACCTTGGCTTCCCTCACGGAAGAAGAATTCTGTCAACGAGCCCCGCAGGTGAGTTTCCCCCGAAAGAATCTTTACTGCACGCAGTTTCTGTCGCTGAGCGACTGGTCGTCTCGTTAAAATCGGCTAACGCGTAAGTCGCGTTTTCAAACGGTACCGTTACGCAATGCCGTTCGAACCGAAGAGCAACGATTATTCGCGGACTCGAGTGCCGTTTTAACGAACCAATTACTCTCTGGAATTTCGTGACGTTCTTTTAGTGATCCACTGGTGCGAATTTGAGGAATTTGGGAATTAGATGAATAGATATTTGAGAATTGGGGAATTTAGAAAAATTGGGAAATTTGGGGGATTTGAGGAATTTGGAGGATTTGGGGAATTTGGGGAATTTGGGAAATTTGGGAAA